GGAAAGGTTGGGAAACAAAACGAAGTGGGAGAGATGGAGAGTGGAAGGTGTTGAATTCAGCAGATAACTTACCATGTCCTTGAACTCGGGCAGGTTACAGTCGGGACTGCGGGCCATCTGTTGTTGGGGCTGCTGACTGGTAGACAGTGTCCAGGGAATGGTTAGGGCATTCTTCAGGAAGTCGCACTCCTACAAGACAAAACAGTTACCAAAATAAAAAAGAAATTGTGATATTACTTTCAGCTTTCTCAAAAACATAGAGTAAGTTAACTATTTTGCAATCCTTTTTGGAAAAGATTCTAAAAGATAATTTTCCAACTTATTTAGTGAATATATTTTTTACTCAAATTGCGGAACTATTTCTAACCAAACATAGTACGACATTGTCATGTATTCAACATTTAAGGCATTAGTTTGGGGTGATATGTTAACCCTTTCACCCCTATAAAACTTGAGTAGACTTTCCCATGCATTGTTCTGGATGAGTCCATAATGGTCTACAGTGGTGAAAGGGTTAAATAACAATTGACAAATACTCATCGAGTACAAGAGGCCCAGAGGGCCTGTATCGCTCACCTTTTCTTTTGTTACATGAAACTGACATATAGGTAACTTAAGACCAAATTTGGGAACTAGAACACAAGACATTTTAACATCTCTTAAACGGATTCTGAAGATATTGTTGTTTGATATTTGAAATTTTAATTTTAAAGCTTTTAACCCACATTGACCTTTGACTCCCGACATGCACTTAAAGTTGACCTTTGACCTTATAACTATAATAAAGAAAATAATTCACACAGCTGGTCTACATAACACACCCAAGTATCATGACTCTAATCCAATGGTTCTGAGGATATTGTTGTTTAAAGTTTTGAACATATTTGACCCCTGTGACCTTGAAAATAGGTCACAGTTAATTTTAATGAAGAAACTTTATAGCACTCCATCGCAGGTACCTACTGGCCAAATAGCATGACCCTAGGTCCTCCAGTTCTTCAGGAGAAGTTGTTCAAAAGAAACAGTTGACGGCCGGACGCAGGACGCCGCAGTAAGGCAATAAACAATAAAAATCCATATTCGCCCAGTAGTGTTAATTTTGCCCTTTACATGTCATTACTATAAAGGGTATGCCGTTTAATAATATTCACTTTCATGATAAAACTGACCTTATTGAGGGGGGCGAAAAAAGTTAAACTGCATCGAAAAAAATTCACGATATACAATTGCTCAATTTTGATTTAATAGGAACATTGAAAATGTCAACCAACTGTAAAATTGTAATATTATGAACAATCATTAATGTCTTACATCGCAGATGAATGTTTGGAATGAAGATATATGAAGTTATTTGAACATTCAATCCTTCACTTTCCATAGTTAAGGATTTTAACCAACAAAGTGACCAACAGTGTTAACTAAAATTCATCAAGTAGAATAGAAATAACATTAGATATAATCAACTAAACACCCTTTAATCAAAAGTGTGGAATTAGTCCGTTAATTTTAGCAAAATGTACAACAAGAACTTGTATATGTGATGAGAACTGACACACAGTGATAACGGGTCAGAAACCAGTATCAGAGGTCCACAGAATTAGAATTTTCTTGTTTACGACAATGAGCGTTTAAAAAATATTTTTGCAGACAATGAAACAATGATACATGTGGTAAACTTACATATCCCAGTCCCTTACTGACGACATAGAGGGCGAAGAGATGTCGATCGCATGCCTGCCCCGTCATGGCGTCTCGATACATTTTCTGATGCCCTTGACATGCTTTTCTGAACAGCTCCAGTTTCTCCTCTTTAGCTATAGTCGGGTCATTGTACGCCCTGTAAGGGGTTACAACAAAAATAACACTTTATTTCTTTTTACAACAATTATGAAACAAGTTATATAATTTATATCAGTCACTCTTGTTAGTCTGGATGATAGCGTGTAGGGGGTCTTATTGTGGGAGGAAACCAGAGTACCCGTAGAAAACACACAGGTGACCTCGTCGGGCAGGTGACCTCATACCTTTTCATGATAGGGAAATAGAAGCCCGGCCGCCTTGGTGAAAGGCAGGTGCGTTTTCCACTGCGCCACCCGACCACCCAAACAAAGTGTTAAACAAGGCTACTGCATGGGGCAGAACAATACAACCCTGCCACATACCATGTTCCATTTATTTCAATTTGTTAAGAAGGATATCTCAGCGGGGAAGATAGGATTGCAAAAATAGGCTCCTCAGAATAATGCAACTAGTGTAACAAGAGGCCCATAGGGCCGGTATCGCTCCCTTGGATATCTAAGCAATCATGGCAGAATATTCTCCAAATGAGATCCATGGGAATATACCAGACCCAAAGGCCAATCCTTGTAGCATATATATCTGTATTCGATTTTTCATGCCCAACAATTTTATGTATGGTTATGGGGTGGAGATCTCAACTGTTTCCAATCTGTGACTCAGAAACTAGGTCCCTATGGATGTGGCCAGACCCCAGGATCAATTCTAATAATCATGACTGCATTTGTCTCTTTTTGCCCAGCATTTGTATATATAGTTTTGGGGTGGGGATCTCAACCGCTTCAAAGTTATGACCCAGGGGTGAAGTCTGCAAGGGTGGGGCAAACCCTGGGGTCAATTCTAATATCATGACTGCATTTGTCTCTTTATGCCCAACAATTGTATATATAGTTTTGGGGTGGGGATCTTAACCATTTCGAAGTTATGACCCAGGAGTTAAGTCTCCAAGGGTGGGGCAGTCCCCAAGGCCATCCTGGAAGCATATGTACATTCATCTCTTTATACTCAGCAATTGTCTATATGGTTAAAGGTCGGGGATCTCAACTGTTTCCAAGGTGTGACTAAGAAACTAGGTCCCTAGGGGTTCGGTCAGACCCCAGGGTCTATTCTAATATCGTGACTGCATTCGTCATTTTATGCCCAGCATTCGTCTCTTTATGCCCAGCATTTGTATATATAGTTTTGGGGTGGGGACCACTTTTAAGTTATGGCCCGAGGACTATGTTTCCAAGGGTGGGGCCAGACCCTAGGGCCATCTGCATTCTTCTCTTTATACTCAGCAATTGTATATGTGGTTATATGGTGGGGATCTCAACCATTTCCAGGCAATAAACTTTTTTTGGCCCCACTCCTTAGCCTGGGGGGTCAGCCCCACCATTTGTACAATTTTGAACCCCCCCACCTAGGGATGCTTCCAGTCTAATATGGTTGATATCCATCACTTAGTTCCAGAGAAGAAGTTGCTTAAAGTAATAAAGCCAAATAACCCTTTTTGGTCCCGCCCCTCAGCCCTCTGGGGGTCAGCCCCACCATTTGCACAATTTTGAATCACCACCACCTAGGGATGCTTCTAGTCTAATATGGTTGATATCCATCACTTAGTTCCAGAGAAGAAGTTGCTTAAAGCAATAAAGCCAAATAACCCTTTTTGGTCCCGCCCCTCAGCCCTCTGGGGGTCAGCCCCACCATTTGTACAATTTTGAATCCCCACCACCTAGGGATGCTTCTAGTCTAATATGGTTGATATCCATCACTTAGTTCCAGAGAAGAAGTCGCTTAAAGTGATATAGCCAAATAACCTTTTTTGGCCCCACCCCTCAGCACCCTGGGAGGTCAGCCCCACCATTTTTACACATTTTGAATCCCTGCATCCCATGAATGCTTTTGATTAAATATGATCGATATCCAGTGCATAGTTCTACAGAAGAAGTCGTTTGTAGAAATATAGCCAATTACCTCTTTTTGGCCCGCCCCTCAGCCCCCTGATGGGTCAGCCCAACCATTTGTACAATTTTGAATCTCCACAACCTAGGGATGCTTCCAGTCTAATATGGTTGATATCCATCACTTAGTTCCAGAGAAGAAGTCGCTTAAAGCAGTTTAGCCAAATTGCCCCCTTTTTGCCCCGTCCCTCAGCCCCCTGGGGGGTCAGACCCACCATTTGTACAATTTTGAATCCCCACCACCTAGGGATGCTTCCAGTCAAATTTAGTTAAATTCCAATCAGTGGTTTAAAGAAGAAGAAGTCGTTTAAAGAAATTGTTGCAGACAGACGACGGATGCCACAGTATGGCATAAGCTCACCTTGGTCCTTTGGACCAGGGGAGCTAAAAATGAAGTAAGTTTGAAATAGTTTTTCAAAAAGGTGGCCGTGTCAGCCATATTTGATTTCTGATCGACCCGAAAAATAACAACACTTTGTCAGGACCATGAGTCGATCATTCCTACAAAGATTCAGTTCAATTGGCCCAGTAGAACTTGTCTTTAAGTTTGAAATATTTTTTCAAAATGGTGGCCATAGGGGCCATATTGGATTTCTGATCGACCCGAAAAATAACAACGTAATGTCATCATAAAAAAGCACATATGTGGTTGGGACGACTCATATATATAAAGAGCAATGATGTTTCAGAAAATATAACTAATCTGATAGTTTTGTTGATGATTTATTTTACGAACTACATTTACTTGTTGTTGCTCAATATGCTATCATAGAGTAGAGCTGTCACGATACACTTTACCCACGATTTGATACGTATCTCGATATTTGTACCACGATTCGATTATTTCGATTTGATACACCTTTATTTTAAAATATAAACAAAATGAGATACAGTATATAAGCCGTCAATACATGGGAACCTGTTCCACACTTTTGATTTGAAGCCTGCTGGAGCATCACAAATTTTCATTTCCTTACTGTGGTCCGCCATTTTGTTATGAATACTTTGTGAAAATTGTATCCTTGCAGCCGATTGGCTGAGGGTTTAGAGATCAGCCAATGAAATTGAAAGTCTCACAAACGTTTCGGCTGAAGCGGCATACACTAATATTCAGATTGTGACGCATCGAAAATCCGGAAAAATATATTGTGAATCGAATTGAACAAAATAATCGCGGTATAAGTGCATCGCGGTGAATTGTGACGCCTTTATCATAGAGCCCATTCATTTGACTATCAGACTTTTTATGGTTAGTGCCCCGTCTGTGTGCCAAAATTTAGTTTCTTTACATGGCTAGAATGCGAATTTATAATCTGTGTAACTTAAATTTTCTATATTTGGGTAGAAATCTCGAAAAATTTCAGCTCGCATCAATAGCTTGTTATACAGAAGTGAGTTGTCAGGAGACCTGAATTTAGTATGTAACACTCTGTCAACCCAGAATTATAAGTTATAAGGTAGCGACAGAAGTCAGTTGTCAGGAGACCTGAATTTAGAATGTGATACTCTGTCTACCCAGAATCATAAGTTATAAGGTAGCGACAGTAGTCAGTTGTCAGGAGACCTGAATTTAGTATGTGATACTCTGTCTACCCAGAATTATAAGTTATAAGGTAGCGTAAATCCTAATTAACATCAACAAATTTTAATACTTATATAGTTGCTTGGGACTTTTATTTCCAGATATTATGACCAACAGATTAGTCATGCTTACATAGATGTCCCACCTCTGATACCTCCAATGAGAGTGATCTCCCCTATTCCACATTTCCAATGAGAGTGATCTCCCCTATTCCACATTTCCAATGAGAGTGATCTCCCCTATTCCACATTTCCAATGAGTGATCTCCCATATTCCACATTTCCAATGAGGAAGAAAGTGCGTGAAAAGTGACTTAAACTGCTATGCTCAATTTATCTTCCCCCTTTTATGTATAAAAGTAACTCCAAAAAGCATTCATAGGAGATCATTTGACCACAGGATGTATATTTTGAGTTTGTGTGAGTTTGGACTCAAATGAGGGAGTTTTGGAGGTGATTGGTAAATTTTGGTCAAATGAGGGAGTCTCCCTTTCTAAAGAGGGAGGGTTGACAGCTATGTGCTTACCTTACAAATGAGGCCGATTCGCAGGTCAATGACCTCACAGTTTCCGTGCGACCGTTGAGATAAAATCTTGTCATGGAGGACTCATACGTCAGAGCCAATTTCCCAGCATTCTTGTAATATGTTAACTGTAAGGCCATCTGTATGTAGGCATCAGGACTGACCTGGGAACAGGAACATCACAATTACTGTGCGTTTGAAAATTCTTAAGTTGGCTCCCCCTCACTCAAAAAAAAAAAAAAAAAAAAAAAAAAAAATGAAATAAATTCCTATGGACCTACCCTATTTTTTCAGTCATGTTACTTGAAACACATTTTTTTGGCCTTAAAATCAAATCCCAGCATAAACACAATATATAGCAGCACACAAGACCTAATTTCAGTACGCCACACTCAACCGTCCAAGGAGGCACTAACATACAAAACAAGGCAGTCGCAGGTGACAAGAGTTTAACAAATATGTCCTGGAAGTGAACAAAGGGCCATAACTCTGTATATTTTTAGTGGAGCATGAAACCTATTTTCAGGAGGAGACTCAACAACACCTTCAGAGGTACTCAGTTATGAAATCCGGTGATTCTACAGGACAGAGAATAAAAAATATGCCCTGAACATGTACATGAACATAGACTGAATAATTGACAGACAGATGGACACCATAGTAACTGTTAATACATTTATAAAGTTTTTTTATTTTACAACAATTATGAAACAAATTATTACAACTAATATTAATCACTCTTGTTGGCCCGAATGTTAGCATGCCGGGGGTCTATATGTGGGAGGAAACCGGGTTACCCGGAGAAAATCCACGTGGTCGGGCAGATGACCCCATACCTTTTCACGTCCGATCAGGGAATAGAATCCCAGCTGCCTTGGTGAAAGGTGAGTGGGTTATCCACTGCACACATACCACCCAAAGTACTGGTGGGGACTAGTGGTGATAAGAAATTTAACATTTAAAATCCAAGACAGCGAAGAAAAAACAAGAGTACCGTGGGGCGGAACAATATATACACCCGTCGAATGCCATATAGTGTTATATACTTTCTTACATTGAAATAAGATCTGCATCATTCTAAGTGTGGTTAGCTGACATGCTATAAAAAATGTAAGAGAAAATCTCTGGACAAAAAATCAAATACTGATATGAACAAAAGGCAAAAACATTTGGAAAAATTGTTGAATCAAAATTCTTTTCACAACTTTATATCATAATAATAATGTTTACCAAGTTTCAAAGAGATCGGTCGAAAAATGTAGGAGGAGATTTCCGGACAATCAAAAATTTACGCCAGCCAGCCGGACATCCCCATATACCATAATACTTCCGTCAAATTTGACGGGCGTATAAAAAAACTATTCCTTACTGGGATGAAATAACTAACAAGGATCACAACAATGAGACATATACTTCAAGCATATGTATACTGTATACCAGGAAACATTCGCCCAGTGGAACTTTCGCCTTTCACTGGACAAATCCATATTGATGTTAATTTTGCCGTTCATTTGCAATGACTATACAATATATGGTGAATAAAAAATTTGTTGTCAGGATAACTTCACCCACATTATTGAGGGTGAAAAAAAGGCAAAAGGAAAACTGCTGCAAAAAAGTTGCAGTATAGAATACACCAGGTAAATACAGGACACTAATTTTGATGTAACACATCTAGGACATGTTTTACATACATCATTTTGAGAACTATTGTGATGTTCCCAGACAAATGCTGAGTGAATTATTTTATTTCTCACCTTGCAAGTCTTCATGAATCCTTTACCATATAAATCATGGTCTCTCACACAAAGGTCAAGGTCATCTATAGCCTGAAAAGATCCAAGTCGCTCAAGGTAAGTAAAAAAAGATTGATATGTTTGGGGTTTAACGATACAGCTGTCATGAGGATGGAAAAAACAAGGAAGAAAGCAATTAATATTAATCGAATATCAAACAGTTATATAGTCATTGACATCAGGTGGTTTAGTCAAATGGATTTTTGTAAAGTTAAAATTGAGATATAGAGACGTCGAACCAGACTTTTGTATTCTTCCCTGAATGTGTTCAGTGAGATCTATACGACAGGTGATATACAGTGAAACGTGACGTACGTGAAGACAGCCCTGCCACATTATATTGGAACACTTGTAAATCTCAATACACAGGTATGTTGTACCTTTCCCCAAAACGTTATTTCTATGTATCAGCTAGGTGTTTTAACAAATCACTAAACATTCTAACAAACATGCAAATTACGAATATTTCAATTCCTTCTCAAGTTGGACTCGATGTAACTACCAAATGTAACCAGTCTCATTTGCCGATGAATTTGACCAGATTAACATTCCTGTGCGTATGATATTGTGAAGGGAGATAACTATTGACATGTTTAAACAAAGAAGATGCATGTACTACTTAATGAGATTTTACATTTTATTGAAGCTACACAAGAAATAGTTCAAACAACCAAAAACAAACAATCAGCATGGCGTGATGAATTGAGTTGGTCTTGAAATAAATTCAACATGAACTGTTTTGGAGTTTATTAAATTTGTTTCAAGACCAACTCAATTCATCACCCCATGAAATCGACCATTTCAGCAAGATTCAATCCTTAATAAATAAGCTATAACAAGTACTTGCAATCAGTTGTTTGTAAGAAAACCTAAAATCTGTGTGACCCATGTTATGATGCATGGTTAAGTTTGATAGTTTTTTGACAACAATTTCTTCTTCAATGGATCCCATTATTCCTAAGATGATACCTACATCAGGATAAATATCATAATATCTTCTTTCAGTATTGCAATATATGGGATACATTCCATGCATATTGTGATACACTTTAGGCTTATCATGATACACTGCAGTTGATTGTGATACACTGCAGTCGTATCGTGATACACTCCAGTCGTATTGTGATACACTGCAGTCGTATCGTGATACACTGCAGTCGTATCGTGATACACTGCAGTTGTATCGTGATACACTGCAGTCGTATCGTGATACACTGCAGTCGTATTGTGATACACTGCAGTCGTATTGTGATACACTCGAGTAGTATTGTGATACACTGCAGTCGTATTGTGATACACTGCAGTTGTATCGTGATACACTGCAGCCGTATCGTGATACACTCGAGTCGTATCGTGATACACTGCAGTCGTGTTGTGATACACTCCAGGCGTATCATGATACTCTCCAGCCATATTGTGACAGCTATACTTAAAGAGTTTGGAAATCGTTTTACCTACCTTCCTGACCGTACCGACAGCACCTTTGATGACGGAGGCTAACGAACCCTCAACGTCCCACAGGAGTTGTGTGGGCGTGGTCCTCTCCTGAACTGTTGCGTCTTCTGGTAGTGGTTTACAGTGACCATCAGGCATGTACAGGTTATCTGAGATCCTAAAAGGAAATTTCAATCTTACATTGACTGATCATTGTAGGGGGCACAAACATGTGCTTTATAGTTTTCGAGACAATTTATGCAAAACAATAAAATCAACATCAATTTGATTGTAAACTACAGGAAAAGGAGTCTCTATTGGACAACAGGGAAAGACATCTCTATACCTCAATAAGGAAGAAAATGTCTTAATCTTGACTGAATAGACAATAGGGAAGGAAATATCTACATCTTAATAAGGATAGAAATCTCTAAATCCTGTCCGATCAGACAATAGGGCAAGAAGTTTCTACATCTTTATAAGGAGGACAATCTCTAAATCTCAATCTCTACATATTAATTAGGAAAGAAAATCTCTCAATCTTGTCTGATGTTTCAGAAAACAGGGAGGGGAATATCTACATATTCATAAAGTTTAACTTGGGTAAGGAGATTGTAAATCCATGAACAGGGGCTCAGACACTCTTTAGAACACACTCACTGTTGTTGGTTCGAACACTAAATTGAACTTACTCATTGGTCATGTTGAACTCGGACAGGTGACCAATCACTGGAGCATCGGCATAGGAATGTTCACAGTTGAGACCGAACCGTCCGTTGGGAAAGGTGATTATGTTGATGGACTTGTCGAACCAAATGGACATCCCCGTCCCTCCAAGTAGGTGCTTTCCACGCTCCGTCAGATCATTGTACGAACAGTCGTATAGGCTCACCTACAGCAGGACAGAAAACTAAATATTTTCAGGCACATTTCTTTTGACAAAAAAACACACATCGGCAGAAACTGAACTTAAACACGCAATCCAACTGATACAATGGATGGAGCTTACTGCGGGAGGTATCCACATACAAAGTTTGATGACTGTTGGACTTGTAGCATTGGAGTAACGAAGCTAAATAAAAATTTGAAAGAACATGTTTTATGGATGGATGGAAAACAGAGGGATCGATGGACAAACAAAGGGATCGACGGACAAACAGAGGGATCGACAACATTTGATATAGCGCCCTATTTAGCTAACATAAGCCACTCTGAAGCGCTTTACAGTACATAGATATACTATTTAAAACAGTCAATACAGTTATCATATATATTAATCAATATAATATTGAGGAATTCGCAGGAGCTGCCTTATCAGGCGCTAACTACTAGTCCTATGCCACCTGGTTAATATCTCCCTATGTGTGTATGCCTGGGTGTGTACTGGAGATGTATTATGTTCTGTTTGTAGTGGAACCGTGCTTTCAACGGTATCATTTATAGTGCCACCTCACTTGAATGCTACATTCACCCCAGACCATTTTATACTCCACCTGGGTTGATGGAGTTGTGTGGGCAGGAGAAAAACACTTTCTCTAATATTCCATGCGTACAGCGACTTCGGGGATCGAACCCCGGCCGCCTGCTTGAAAGGCCGGAGTGTAAACCACTCGACCAAAAGGCCCATGGATGGGAAACAAAGGGATCGACAGACAAACAGAGGGATCAACGGACAAACAGAGGGATCAACGGACAAATAGAGAGATGGATGGGAAACAGAGGCATCGACAGACAAACAGAGCGATTGATGGGAAACAGAGGGATCGACAGACAAACAGAGAGTGGGATGGGAAACAGAGGGATCGACAGACAAACAGAGCGATGGATGGGAAACAGAGGGATCGACAGAAAAACAGAGAGTGGGATGGGAAACAGAGGGATCGACAGACAAACAGAGCGATGGATGGGAAACAGAGGGATCGACAAACAAACAGAGGGATGGATGGAAAACAGACAGATTGACAAACAGAGCGATGGATGAAAAACAGAGGGATTGACACGCAAACAGAGCGATGGATGGAAAACAGACAGATGCCTGAGGATGCTCCAGCCTAAAGAAGGATAAAATCCCTTAATCTCTGCAGTAGAAGAAGGATTTTAAAGTTTTACCTCTATTTCATCTATTCTGCCCTGCCCCTCTGCCCCTAGGGGGGCCATACCCACCGTCTTTACAAAATTGAGTCCCCTTGGCCTAAGGAAGCTCCAGACTAAATAAGGATAAAATCCCTACAGTAGAAGAAGGATTCTAAAGGTTTTACCTCTATATCCCCTATTGGGTCCAGCCCCTATGCCCCCAGGGGAGGCCACACCCACTGTTTATACAAAAATGAGTCGCCTTGGTATAAGGATGCTCCAGACTAAATTAGGATAAAATCCCTTAATCCCTACGGTAGAAGAGGGATTTTAAAGGTTTACCTCTATTTCCCCTACTGGGCCCCTCCCCTCTGGGCATCCTGATTGTCGTCAAAATTGTAACGCAAAAACGTATCTCAAGAAAGGTAACTGGAAAACCTAAAATCTAAATATAGATAGACCTAGATGGCGCCTGCAGTGGGTATTTTCCTCTGGCAGGTTATATATAGACCATGCAAACTTGTTTGATATTTTGTGTAATGGCTTGAATGACAACTGTGTCCTGTCCAGCGGTGATATGTTACGTCCGTGACGGGATGTACATTTTAAACTTTTATGTCATTTTTCTAGTGATTTGTAGTGACCAGTTTATGCTATTTAACACGAATAACAAGAAAATGTATGACACTGTTCGTCGACATTGATATTTTAAATGACATCCGCTTTTGATGTCTCATGGCGATAATTGTGATGGTCGTCACAAAGACGACATTTTAGACATGGTGTCTTTGTGCAACGAACAAATATTATCTTACCGCATGGTGAACACTATGATTTGCAAACTAAATCTATCAAATTACTTTTTTTTCATGAATTAATGAAAACGAATATTAAACATGGTCCATACCCTAATCCAATTTCATCCCTTTTATGTGTACTGGCTAATGTCCCTTGGCATTAACCTAACACTAAGGTACCGGTATATAACGTTAATGTAATTAACTCGAATAACAACAAAATTAAATAATTTCCATGTTAGTATGTGATATCAAATATGTGTATTGTTTACGTAGGTGTTTCGTGGGTAATAGTGTCCTTATTGAAGTCTTGCATTTTTTCTCAAAATAACTAGTTACCAAGATCTACATTTTGGGGAAAACTTTATTATTTGTTTAACTAGAATGATAACTTAATTACTGAACAAATTACCTGACAAAGAAATACATTTTCAGCATATAAAGGACACCATTTTACAAACGCAAGTGTGAAATTTGTAATTTTGAGTATGAAATACTGGTAAACGATAGCAATCACTATGTTCTCCACCTTTTTTTTTTAACCTTCATGAAATGGTCAATATAACACAAAAAAACACATTCTGAAAATTTGATGTGGGAGTCACATTTTCTGGACCATGATTGAATTTTGCCTCATATAATGAATGCCCCTTCATTAGTAGTCGACATTGGCCTTTAACCGACCTTGGAACTATAAAACACAGACTCATTTAACATATTCTCAAACAGGATTTTTGTATAAAAGTTTATTAAAATCGGTTGAGAAATAAAATTGCCAGATTGATGACACTGAATTATCTGTTGATAGAAATCTATAAATAGTAACATGACCTTTACCTTGTCTTCTGAAAATATGATTTTGTCTAAGGTGTTTTCATGCTTGATCATTATATAAATTTTATTCAAAATCTGTTCAGAAAAGAGATTGCTGTCAGAGATGACCTTGAACCTGTATGGTAACAAGGAGGCGGACATGGTTAAACTGTGCACCCTTATGGAATAAATATAAAAAAAATTGATGCATTATCATCTTCTTATGAATAAAACCCTTTCATATGTAATAAGTGATTAAAAAACAAGGGAGATAACTCACAAAGAAAATCGCCTTCTCCACAGTATCTAAGGATTCCTTGTTGATGCCCTCCGAGAAATACTCCGTGCGAATTTTGTACCAAGACGTGCGGTCTATCCCTGTCAGGGCAGGAATGCTCTTCTCTGCTTCATTGACATTGTCTGATTACAAAACAATATCAAAATCGGGCATCTGGGTAAAATTATCACAAAATCGGGCATCTTTTTATCACAAAATCAAAAAATAAATCTGTGTTTCAAAACATTTTCCACATATTCATAGACTGACATCTTTACTAGTGACTCTTGAACTTTCTGAGTCAAGTTGTAAAGCACAATAGAACTTTCTCACAGATAAATTTGGATACTACAAACTTTTTTGATGTATGTAAAGTATCCAAAGACAGATTAATTTACTATTTTCAGTTATTTTGTTTGTTTTTCCGAAATTCAAAACGTTAAATGACTTAATAACTGAATAATAGGTGATCAATTTAATTTTATGATGAAGTTTGTCCTAACCAACAAACTTTACTAATTTTGTGACCTTGCATGATTCACCTTGTGACCTTTGACCTGCCACCACTCACCTGTTTGAGCGTCAGCATCCTCCATCACCCACTCCAGCTGTTTTTCTAACTGTAACGGTGTGAGTAGCTTCCCTTTCTTATCAAACACACAGACCTTATATAGCAGTCCCTTCCTCAACACAGCCACATGCTGAAGAATACAAAGATTGTTTTAGTCGGTACATATGTTATATTATAACGTTCACAAAACAGAAATAGTCTCAATGTTGTCAATCAAAGATATTTTAGCTGGAAAGTCAGTTTGCAATAAGTTTCTTTACACAGAGACGTATATACTTCATATGTCTCTGCTCTACAGTACAAATCTATCCAATCATGTTGTCATTGAACAGCACAAATTCGTGACCAGTTTCTGGACCGGAATAATATCTTGCAAAGTTATATACTGTGGTACCTCTATAGATGATGTAAATGACCTTGACCTACTTTTGGTTATACAGATGATGTAAATAACCTTGACCTACCTTTGGATATGCAGATGATGTAAATGACCTTGACCTACCTTTGGATATACAGGAGATGTAAATGACCTTGACTTACCTTTGGATATACAGATGTCAATGACTTTGACTTACCTTTGGATATACAGATGATGTAAATGACCTTGACCTACCTTTGGATATACAGATGATGTAAATGACCTTGACCTACCTTTGAATATACAGATGATGGAAATGACCTTGACCTATCTTTGGATATGCAGATGATGTAAATGACCTTGACCTACCTTTAGATATACAGGTGATGTAAATGACCATGACCTACCTTTGGATATGCAGATGATGTAAATGACATTGACCTACCTTTGGATATACAGGTGATGTAAATGACCTTGACCTACCTTTGGATATACAGATGATGTAAATGACCTTGACCTACCTTTGGATATACAGATGATGTAAATGACCTTGACCTACCTTTGGATATCGATAAATGAAAATGACCTTGACCTACCTTGGACTCTGAAGAATCACTATGTAACCAGGAATCACAGTCTTCTCCCGGAATTCTGAAACAGAAATACACCACTACAATGAACATATCAACTTAACTCTGTCTGTTACTCATTTTTTCATTTCTTCTCATTTTTTCATTTCTTTTCCTTGATAAAGTAAGAGAAAAATAATAATTGTATGAACAGTTTGTGAAACAGAGCTTGAATATCTATCAAATCCAAAAATAATATAGAGAAGACCTTGACCTTACTGTGTTGTAGAGAAGACCTTGACCTTACTGTGTTTTAGAGAAGACCTTGACCTTACTGTGTTGTAGAGAAGACATTGACCTTACTGTGTTGAAGCCAAGACGTTGACCTTACTCTGTTGTAGAGAAGACATTGACCTTACTGTGTTGTAGAGAAGACATCGACCTTACTGTATTGTAGAGAAGAAGTTGACCTTACTGTGTTGTAGAGAAGACCTTGACCTTGTTGTGTTGTAGAGAAGACATTGAACTAACTGTGTTGTAGAGAACAGATGATGTAAATGACCTTGACCTGAAGACATTGACTTTACTGTGTTGTAGAGAAGACATTGACCTTACTGTGTTGAAGAGAAGGCATTGACCTTACTGTATTGTAGAGAAGACGTTGACCTTACTGTGTTGTAGAGAAGACATCATCCTTGTTGTGTTGTAGAGAAGACATTGACCTTACTGTGTTGTAGAGAAGACGCTGACCTTACTGTATTGTAGAGAAGACATTGACCTTACTGTGTTGTAGAGAAGACATTGACCTTACTGTATTGTAGAGAAAACATTTACCTTACTGTGTTGTAGAGAAGAAATTGACCTTAGTGTATTGTAGAGAAGACCTTGACCTTACTGTATTGTAGAGAAGACCTTGACCTTACTGTGTTGTAGAGAAGACATTGACCTTGTTGTGTTGTAGAGAAGACATTGACCTAACTTTGTTGTAGAGAAGAAGTTGACCTTACTGTGTTGTAGAGAAGACATTGAACTTACTGTGTTGTAGAGAAGCCATTGACCTTACTGTATTGTAGAGAAGACGTTGACCTTACTGTGTTGTAGAGAAGACATCGACCTTGTTGTGTTGTAGAGAAGACATTGACCTTACTGTGTTGTAGAGAAGACGTTGACTTTACTGTGTTGTAGAGAAGACATTGACCTTACTGTGTTGTAGAGATGACATTGACCTTACTGTATTGTAGAGAAGACGTTGACCTTACTGTGTTGTAGAGAAGACATTGACCTTACTGTATTGTAGAGAAGACCTTGACCTTACTGTATTGTAGAGAAGACCTTGACCTTACTGTGTTGTAGAGAAGACATTGACCTTACTGTGTTGTGAAGAAGACATTGACCTTACTGTGTTGTAGTGAGGATGTTGACCTAACTGTGTTGTAGAGAAGATGTTGACCTTATTGTATTGTAGAGAAGACCTTGACCTTACTGTGTTGAAGAGAAGACTTTGACTTTACAGCTGTGTTGTAGAGACATTAACCTTACTGTGTTGTAAAGAAGACCTTGACCTTACTGTGTTGTGAAGAAGACATTGACCTTACTGTGTTGTAGTGAGGACGTTGACCTTACTGTGTTGTAGAGAAGATGTTAACCTTACTGTGTTGTAGAGAAGACATTGACCTTACTGTGTTGTAGAGAAGACATTGACCTTACTGTGTTGTAGAGAAGACCTTGACCTTACTGTGTTGTAAAGAAGACATTGACTTTACTGTGTTGTAGAGAAGACCTTGACCTTACTGTATTGTAGAGAAAACGTTTACCTTACTGTGTTGTAGAGAAGACGTTGACCTTACTGTATTGTAGAGAAGACCTTGACCTTACTGTGTTGTAGAGAAGACTGTGACCTTACTGTGTTGAAAGAGAAGACTTAGACTTTACAGCTGTGTTGTAGAGACATTTACCTTACTGTGTTGTAGTGAGGACGTTGACCTTACTGTGTTGTAGAGAAGAAGTTGACCTTATTGTAATGTAGAGAAGACCTTGACCTTACTGTGTTGAAAGAGAAGACTTTGACTTTACAGCTGTGTTGTAGAGACATTGACCTTACTGTGTTGTGAAGAAGACATTGACCTTACTGTGTTGTGGAGAAGACATTGACCTTACTGTGTTGTAGTGAGGACATTGACCTTACTGTGTTGTAGAGAAGATGTTGACCTTATTGTATTGTAGAGAAGACCTTGACCTTACTGTGTTGAAGAGAAGACTTTGACTTTACAGCTGTGTTGTAGAGAAGACCTTGGCTTTATTGCATTGTATATAAGACCTTGACCTTACTGTATTGTAGAGAAGACCTTGACCTTACTGTATTGTAGAGAAGACTTTGACCTTACTGTGTTGTAGAGAAGACATTGACCTTACTGTATTGTAGAGAAGACATTGACCTTACTGTATTGTAGAGAAGATGTTGACCTTACTGTGTTGTAGAGAAGATGTTGAAAGACATTGACCTTATTGTGTTGTGGAGAAGACCTTGACCTTACTGTATTGTAAAGAAGACCTTGACCTTACTGTGTTGTAGAGAAGACTGTGACCTTACTGTGTTGTGAAGAAGACATTGACCTTACTGTGTTGTAAAGAAGACCTTGACCTTACTGTGTTGTAGAGAAGACCTTGACCTTACTGTGTTGTAGAGAAGACATTGACCTTATTGTGTTGTGGAGAAGACCTTGACCTTACTGTATTGTAAAGAAGACCTTGACCTTACTGTGTTGTAGAGAAGACATTGACCTTACTGTATTGTAGAGAAAACTTTGACCTTACTGTATTGTAGAGAAGACCTTGACCTTACTGTATTGTAGAGAAGACCTTGACCTTACTCTATTCACCTTACCTTGTTGTGGAGAAGACTTTATCATACTGGGCCATACAGATCGGTATGGTATTCCTGATGACCAGTGGCTCAAGTCGTTCATGGTGAACAAGCTGCTTGAAGGTCAGGAATTGGTACATCACATTAGCTGTCCTGATAAACAATAACAGCAGTGTTACTTCATGCCCAGTGACGTATTACAGAGCTACTTTCTTTAGTCTGCTCGGGTTCTGTGTACATTTGTTTTGTAGCAGATTTGTTTTTTTTAATAGCCTAGGGTTTGTTATAAACATGTCTTACTGCTGCTGCAACAAACCTACTTAAATTACAAAATAGGGACCGACATTTTCATCATACATACGTTCAACTTCAGGTAAAATCAATACAGATAACCTATGCATATATTTGTCTATTAAATAAAACACCCTCCCCCTGTCGTAATAATAATATACAACATTTATATAGTGCCCTATATAATTTGTAAAATTACTCCAAAGCGCTTAACAACATACAGATAATAGTAATAGTTATAATTGTGAAATAAAAACCAAGGCTTACATCACTTTTATACTTTTAAGCAAACAATGTGCACATAATTGAACAAATAAAGGGTGGTATTTACACGACGTCTTTGCAGAGACCCTAAAATGCAGACGTGAAGAGGTAGGTTTTGATGTCCCTCTTGAATTTGGCCAGGGTATTTGACTTTCTAATAGCAGATGGTAAGCTATTAGATGGCTGATACAGGATAACAAGCTTCTGTAGGTACTGAGGAGCTGTTCCATTCAGTGCCTTGTATGTGTACACCAAAATTGTGTACTGCGACCTGTATCGTACAGGTAACCAGTGCAATGAATATAGCACAGGTCTGATGTGTCTCTCTTTTGAGTACGAGTAACAAGCCGTGCTGCAGTGTCCTAGATCCTCTGCAGACGACTAGTTACTATGTCAGATTTACCACAGAGCAGGGCATTACCATAATCCAACCGAGAGGTAACAAGTGAATGCAACAAAATCTTGCATGCATCTTCAGTTATAAACTGCCGAGTACAGCCGATGTTCCTGATCTGGTAGTAACAGGATTTGGCAATAGCGTTAACTTGTTTCTCCATGTTCAGTGAACTTTCAAAGTATTCCCCTAGGTGGGACAGTCTCAATAGTTCTGGCATCGACCTTGAGCTGGAGAGCCATTGTTTGCCGACACTTTGGGGAAAAGAAGATTAGTTCCATCTTTTCCTGATTAAGCTTTAGCATGTTGGCGTTCATCCAGGTACTGATATCTGTCAGACAAGCTTCCAGATTTTCTGAAACTGTATCCCAACTGTCCTGTGGTTTGATGTAAATTTGAGTGTTGTACCTGGCGACCTGTAATGTTGACCCGATCCAGTAGCTCTGGTCCATGATGTAGTAGTTACTGTTGATCAGGAGAGTACTCCGGCTCTTCAGGTAAACATACTTCTCCCTGGAACAAACAATTCATTTAAACAATAACTGGTTGTCTGGATGTAATTATTGTTGATATAATTACAAGTGGCCTCTGGAAAATCCCATAAAACCCGCTAGGGTTTTATGGTAGATTTGCCAGAGGCCACTTGTAATTATATCAACAATAATTACATCCAAACAACCAGGTATTTTTTATATTTACATATTTTTCTTTTTTAAGACATATTCCTACAAAAACCATTTGCCCTGCCTCAAAATACATTTCAGGCGGCCATTTTGTTTGTTTACATATTCCTACACCTGAAACAGGCAGTTGTAATTATAGTCGAGCAGTTGTAATTATAGCCTATATAATTAGACTTGCCCTCTAACACTGTTGTAATGGGATGGCGCAGGGGCAAATGTAAATATATCATTATAAACATCTCATTTATAGATTCATCCAAAATTATTCACTAGAACCCCATACTTGCCAACTGTTTGAAACTTCCATTGGGGGATTAAAACATAAATAAATGTGTAGATACCCCCTAGAGACAAAACAACCATTTAAAATTAATTATTTAGAGTTGTTCTTTCTGATGAAATCATTAGATCTGCCACTGTTGCCGGAAAAGCAACACCTTAGTCTTGCATCACAGCAGAACAGAAGCTATAACCCAAAAGGTCTCAGCCAATAGGAAGTATTTGAGGGTAGCCATCTTGGTTTTAAGGATTGAGGAAATCTGGCATTATTAATGCAGGAAATATATCAGGCAGCAGTTGTCTTCATAGTAAAACATGAGAAAATCACAACTAAACTTTAGATGATTTTGGAACACAATGTTTGTACTTGTCATTTATCATAATGAAGATTGGAGTGTAACACAGAAGGCTTTACATCAAACTTACCACCAGTCGGATAGTAAAAGATAAGACAAGAGGCCCAATGGGCCTGCATCGCTCACCTGCTATTAATCTCACACATGTTATCTTAAAAGTGGACTAAAATACAGCTACAGACAGAATATCAGTGTTTGATTCATAAGAACCTGTTAAAAGATTTAAGCATACAGGCCCAATATTATCAGCCTGGGTCTCTTGGTTATTCAGAAGTTGTTTAAAGTAAAACGTTGACGCCGCACCATGCCATAAACCATGGACACCTAAATTTTAGATGATTTTGGAACAAGTTATTTATACTTGTCGTGGGACATTATAATGAAGATTGTATTCTAAAACAGAAGGTTTTATATAAAATCAAACTTACCACCAGTCGGAGACATAATTCTGGGCCCACCAGGACTTCAGGACCAAGACTCGTTGTAACTTTGGGCCGATTTTTTTCTCAAAATCCTGGCGGTCTTTTGTAATTTGCTGCCACTTCTCCGAGTCGTTGCCATATAGAGGTTTCAAGGAGAGCAGTAGTGTGTCGAGGGTCTGACTGAGGGACGGCACATTCATCCTAGGTAGGGACTGCTGACAGCTGTACAGGAGGGGGTGGTAACCAAACACACACCGTACAGCCACACCCCATAATATTGTGGTCACAGACTGAGTCTTAGGCTGTTCATCTGTCAAATCAAACGTTCACATGACATTGTAATCCAAGGCATACTTGTCAAGATGTCTTTTAACAAGCCAGTCGGATTGATATGTCTTGCCTATGCCCCGCTTTGACCATCAATGCACATATCAGAGAAACTAACTTAAACACAAAAACTTAATGTTGCTGGAGACGCTGACAAAGTCAATGGACCATGAAAGGTGGGCCGCATTCAGCATTTGGTTGGTGTTTCACTTATACTTTCAGAGAATTTAACTTAAACGCAAAAACTTAATGTTGACGCCGTCGCCGGAAAACCAACACCTAAATCTTGCTTCCACTTTGTGGCGAAGAGACAAAAATGATAGAGGTTATCATGTGACCATTCCCATATCCTACTCAGTTGTGACCATTCCCATATCCTGCTCCGTATCAGCCCAAGACTCCCATTGGTGCACTCACAGCTAGCATTCAATTATTCTAGCACTATCCAACCACATACTCATTTACAGCTGAGTAGACTGGAACAAGCAGAGTAGACACAACACAGCACCGTGCCGTGACTCGAACCCGCAACACTTTGGTCACGAGTCTGGCGTCTTACCACTAGACTGTCGTGCCTCCTAGTCTACATTTTATCAGCAAGCCGAATATGATTATAATACAATTGCCAATAATTGACACTTTTGAATCAGCTTGAAATAAGGTTTTTTTAAATAAATAAATAAAGCTGCAACTGCAGTTGGCAAGTGTCACCCAGCAAGGGTTCTACTGTAGTAAGATCACCTTTTAAGTAGAGGTAGCCAAGACTTGATGGGTCTGTTATGAATATGTCATACTTCAAGCTAAGGTAGCTATGTTTTAAAGCGGACTGTGAAAATATCGTAATTCAAGCTGCTGCAACAATAACCTACAGTGGACTCTGCTGTATGCCTTAGATTTTACATCAAGCCGAGGTAAGTAAGTCTTATCTTAATTACTGGCTTAGACTAGATCGTGATAAGGTCATACTTCAAGCTACTGTAAGTATGACAGAGCAGACTCAGCTGATGTAAGATTTTACTTCAAGCTGAGGTGTAGCCATGTCTTAGAGCGGAACTTGATTAGGTCTTACTTCAAGCTGAGGTAGCTATGTCTTAGAGCAGACCTTGATAAGGTTTTACTTCCAGCTGAGGTAGCCACGTCTTAGAGCGGACCTTGATAAGGTCTTACTTCAAGCTGAGGTAGCTATGACTTAGAGCAGACCATGATAGGTCTTACTTCAAGCTGAGGTAGCTATGTCTTAGAGCAGACCTTGATAAGGTCTTACTTCAAGCAGTGGTAACTATGACCTTCAGCAAATTTCATATTTTAAATTATATTTAAATTATATTTTATTTTATGGTACAGATTGTCCACCAATCCTTCTATGTCGTTCTGTCATATTTATGACCTTTGGAAAATTTCGCTGTGACAATAAATCATTAGTCAATCAGAGGTTAAAGGTGATGACCCAGAGGTCATGCTGCAAGGTCAAGCTTCCTATTGATACTTACATATCCATCCCGAGTACGACAGGAGAGATCGGAGCAGTAATCGACGTATGTATAACAGGGCAACGAAGAACAGGAATCCTGCCACACAGCTTGTCAAAATCGCACGGAGGATTACAGGAAAACCTGGAACACAAAAGGTTAGAAATCTAGAATGCAAAGGATCAAAAGGCCAAATTTATAATTATTGTCTAGTTAAAAGAGAAAACTGAAACACAGAGGGTCAAAGTAACATTAAATTGTTTTCTCATGTAACACAGACATCTAGAAGGCAGATGGTTACATGAGTTGTATTTGTTTTCTAGTGTAACAGAGAAATCGAGAATGCAAAGGGATAACATTCATGCAGTTTCATTTATTGTTTCTTTTTTTATAAAGAGAAACTTGAAGCTAAGATTTGGGATTTGAACCTTAGACAGGTACAAACTTAGTTACCTGATCAGTGGTTGTTAGATGGCCTTATCACACTAGGTATATCCAAACCATAATTAAGGGGAAGTAACTGTAGGCCTGAAAGACTACAGTGGAATTTAATATCGTTTTGCCAGCAGTGGAAAAGATTCACTACCGTTTATGGGTAGATTCCCCTACAGAAGAAAATCTTCCTGCTCTTTGAAAATGTGCTTCAAAATCTCCCTATTTCAAACAGAAAATAGCATTTTTTCCTCAAAACATTTCTCCTATATGTTTTCTGTAAAGATCAACAGTTAAAGTGCTTAATACTGCATATATACATTTTCTTCATGTAATTTAAACAAAATTTCTACAATTTTAAGCATAACTTAATATATGTGTAAAAGGTTGACAGGCTTGATAAACAAACCCTGTAAGTGAAGCTAGAACAAGGAAATAAATCACAGCACTCATCCCGAAGTAAGGACAGAGGTATGTATAAAACTGTTACTGTAAACACCGTCACAGATGTTGTGATTTACATACATACATACATACATTGACCAATATAAACACATTAGTTTATATATGTAGGTCTCAAGTAACTAATAGCCACGTCAAAGTACAGTCTAACACAGGAACCTGAATATAGCTAGCATTAGTTTATATATGTAGGTCTCAAGTAACGAATAGCCACGTCACAGTACAGTCTAACACAGGAACCTGAATATAGCTAGCATTAGTTTATATATGAAGGTCTCAAGTAACTAATAGCCACGTCACAGTACAGTCTAACACAGGAACCTGAATATAGTTAGCATTAGTTTATATATGTAGGTCTCAAGTAACTTAAATAGCCACGTCACAGTACAGTCTAACACAGGAACCTGTATATAGCTAGCATTGGTTTATATATGAAGGTCTCAAGTAACTAGTAACTACAGTACAGTCTAACACAGGAACCTGTATATAGCTAGCATTGGTTTATATATGTAGGTCTCAAGTAACTATAGTAGCCACAGTACAGTCTAACACAGGATCCTGTTTATAGCTAACTAGATTATATTCTAGTCCTTCGTCAATTTAACTAGTCCAAGATTTTCTAAAGGAAACATTTCCAGAAAAATCATCAAAAGTACCTGATTGTACGGGGGACAAAAAATAACTGCTGTCATTAAGATATCTGTATTTTAAGCAGTTAAATTCCAAAAGCTTTGTTATCATTTCATAATCTATCAATCAAATAATATTGTGGTATTTTTTTTTTACAAATCCAAAGAACCAGTCAGTAAGTACATTAACTAGTCCCTGCTGAAATCTACTAGTCTCAGACAAAAGTACCAGTCAGTTAGTAGATTCACTAGTTCCTGCTGAAATCTACTAGTCTCAGACAAAAGGACCAGTCAGTTAGCAGATTCACTAGTCTACTAAACAGTCAGTTAGCAGATTCACTAGTCTACTAGTCTCAGACAAAAGGACCAGTCAGTTAGCAGATTCACTAGTCTATTGTCTCAGACAAAAGGACCAGTCAGTTAGTAGATTCACTAGTCTACTAGTCTCAGACAAAAGGACCAGTCAGTTAGCAGATTCACTAGTCTACTAGTCTCAGACAAAAGGACCATACCAGTGTTGAACCCCGACTAGGTCTGTCACACTAGAACACCGGGACAAGGTTGACAGTTATCTCATTTGTCTATCAAGTCATGACAAAAAGAATCAATTTGCATAGATCAGAAGATGAATGATCAGTCATGACTCATTGCTATAACAATTGACTGAGCTAGAATTAAACGCATGCAGATGTAGATTAGTTTAGCCAATTACGTCAGTTGTCACAAACGTTTTTAAGGAAATTTAGACAGTGTATCAGCCAGTCCCCAGAGTGGGGATGTCACTCCCTTACAGAACTCCCAGTCCCTGTGACAATACTTTCATTCTAGTATAGACAGTGTATCAGCCAGGCCCCAGAGTTGGGATGTCAGCCCCTTACTGAACTCCCAGTCCATGTGACCATACTTACCGTCTGGTTTAGACAGGGTATCAGCCAGTCCCCAGAGTGGGGATGTCAGTCCCTTACAGAACTCCCAGTCCCTGAGACCATCCCTACCTTCTGGTATAGACAGTGTATCAGCCAGACCCCAGAGTTGGGATGTCAGCCCCTTACAGAACTCCCAGTCCCTGTGACAATACTTTCCTTCTAGTATAGACAGTGTATCAGCCAGTCCCCAGAGTTGGGATGTCAGCCCCTTACAGAACTCCCAGTCCATGTGACCATACTTACCTTCTGCTATAGACAGTGTATCAGCCATTCCTCAGAGCGGGGATGTCAGTCCCTTACAGAACTCCCAGTCCATGTGACCATACTTACCTTCTGGTATAGACAGTGTATCAGCCAGACCCCAGAGTGGGGATGTCAGCCCCTTACAGAACTCCCAGTCC